GCACTATTTTAGCACTGTTCACAGGTGATAAAGTGGTGATAAAATGGTGATAGAAAATGCTGTTTGTGTTTTTCTTTAGTTTTCTTATGTTGTTTCATTTCTTTTACACTTCTTTACTTAATTTTAGTTTCCATTTTGCATTTGCGCATTTGTGGTTTGTCAAGTAAGTGTTCTTTACGTACTCAAATTAGAACTTATAGGAAGCCGACAAGTTCTTTGTGGGATCGACCCCGTACTTACATAATCTATACTTCATTAGATTCGTGCACTTGCGGGTATTTTTAATTGGTTGTTTGCACATTAATTTGTGTCCTTTTAGGAATACAACAATTTGATATCACTTCGTATCATCAAAAGCAAAAAACAAAACAAAACAAGCCAGTTTACCTTATCACGATTGATTTGTCATCACAAATGAAATTTGATGTCTGCATTTAAACTTTTTAAATAAAAAAAATATGTCCTCACTCCTCTTTCGAAAATTCTAATATTAATTCTCCTAGCGAGAAAACATTCCTCACAACGGTTTCATACAATAGTTGATCCGTAGGGTGCAATACTAAAGTGTAATTAACCCTTTTAATAATCTCTACACCTTTGAAATTTGGATGTAGAATTCCATTTGCTTTTTGTAGAATTCTTGGTGTTTGGAGAGTTGGAGGGTGGTGGTCATAGGGGAATGCAGGGAGAAGAGAGAGAGAGAGAGAGATATATATATATATATAATTTGGTCTTTTTATGTTTTTAATATTTTAATCAATTTAAAATTAACAAAAATTAAAAAAATGTGGGACCACCCAGTGCCACGTAGGCAACTAACGGAGAAATATGATGGAAACCCTAACGGTGGAACCACATTGTAACAAATTTAAAAGTCTGGGTTATGTTATTGTAAAAATTGAGAAAATAGGGACAAACATGTTTTAAGGGTATAACCACAAGCTAAAGTGTAATTAACCCTTGTTTCTTTTAATATCCAAATGTGTTGTGTTCTACATTTTGACACATGTGTTCTTTCCCACCCCCCACCAAAAAATGTCTTCAAACAATTCGTAGAGCCATTTGGATTCAGGTTATATGGTAGCATAAGCTGATGGGAGATGTGTTGTTTTTAGGCATAGGTGCCGAAGTAATAGGTATTGCTATTTTGTTTTGGCAGGGATTTATTGTTTCCAAGTCCTTGTGGGATTTTGATGTTGGATTGCTTGTTCTCAGTCTGCTTTTCTCTTTTTCTTCCCTGTGTTCTACATGCATTAGTTACGTATCTTTCCTTCCCCTCCAAAAGGAGATCTTATCTTCTTCTTCTTTTTTCAATTTGAAATTAGGGAACGTTGTGGAATTTTGTAGCAGCTCTCTTATGCAAATAATACTTTTTTCAGCAAACAGAAATAGGTTTGTGCAAGTAATTAATGTTCATATTGTGAAACTATCAATTTGAACCATAGTTTGTAAAGGTATGTTTGGTACTATTCATATTGATTTGTTGAGTTGTTTTAGTCATTGAAATCTAGTCTTGTATAATTCTACTTTTTATGTGATTTCAGCCTCAAAACATTTAGGCTAGTGACAAGAAGTTTGGAACTTTTGGTTGGGCTAGATGCACTTGATTTTGGCCAGGTCTTCAATCTTCATAACATTTAGGCAGCTGACAAGGTTTAGAAGTTGTATATTTAAATTGAAGTATATTTTTGGTACTACGTTCAGTTTTTATTTGAGGTTGAAATCAACCTAAATGTTGTATTAGTCATAAAGCACAAATAATTGTGCCAATTGCATTAAAGAGCCCAAACCCAGATATTACAGTAGTGAGTTTACTTGTATTATTAAATTTTTTGTAAAAAGATACATAAATTAAATGCGAATAATGTGTAAATATGTCTATAATACAATCACTATATGCAAAATTTTCTAACTAAATTTCAAAGGATTATCCACACCACTAAAGAGAATTTTTTGGGAAATGAAATTCTCAATCTATAGATTATGCATTACATGAGAATGAATATAATTACCATTAACAAGTCTTTAACTTGGTTTTTCACTTTTTTTTTTCTTTTGATAGTAATTAGTTAATTGAAGGAAGTTAGAAAAAAAAGTAAAAAAAAATTAAAGTGGTCCAATGTTGTATAATTGACTACACTTTCACTTTTTTGATATGGTGAAGCATGTAATTGAAACTGGCCTTCAACCTGCCCTTGTGGTTAAGTGCGCTTGCACTAACTCCTAGTGGTCTTGGGTTCGAAGGATGGTACCACATTCTCTACAAAACCCAAAAAAAATTAGGTTGGTGGGTAAAACTAAATGATATGCAAAGTTGTTATTGAAGAAATTTGGGGGACCTCCAAATCAATTGGAAGAAGGACAATGTCTGCCTCTAGTAGGAGGAAAAGGAACTATCAATCAACTGGTTTTCCGATTTAAATATCTTTCTTACATGTCAGTGTAAATAAGCTTAAGTTCCTTTCAGTTGACACAGGTAAACCACCTGCTAACTGGGAGAAAGTCCTTGAAGGGATCCGCAAAATGAGGTCTTCTGAAGATGCACCAGTAGACAGTATGGGTTGTGAGAAAGCTGGAAGTGCTCTTCCTCCTAAGGTATATCCCTCCTCACTTCCGTAAATAAAAATTTGAATGAAATCAGGTTGGGTTGGAAATGCCTTCTGATAGATTTCGTATTATCATTGCTTTGTTATTCCATGAAATATTTATGTTATGCTATGAAAAACAATATAAAATCAGGAAAGAAGATTTGCTGTCTTGGTGTCTTCTCTCTTATCAAGCCAAACGAAGGATCATGTTAATCATGGTAGGTTTGTACACTTTTGTCTTTTGATATGCAAGTTCATGCAATTTTAAGTTCATTGTCATTGACAAAAAGCCTTGATGAACAAATTTTGTATGTGGGCGGAAAATATGGAAAAAAAAGGTGAAAGGTGTCACATTCTTGCTACAAAGAATCAACAAATAATAATAATTTTTTTAAAAAAAGAAAAAAGAATAGATATCTTATTTTACGCCACTGTTTGTTTTCATGCTGACACTTGTCCTATCAGACTGCCTGGAAAGCTTTTCCATTTTCACTTTTACATGACATAGTTGACTAATGGCTAGTACTGAATCTATCAAGCATAACTTGGGAATCTAAATGTTATAGAACTTTATAATCTATTGGTCCCAAAAGTGTGCATGTTACTTATCTTCTGCTCAGCAGAGTCTTCTCAGTTGTTGTTGCTCTGCATCTTACTTACAGTTAAATTTCTGACACTCTATGGTCTCTTTGGGGTGTAGGAGCAATTCAGCGTCTACTTCAAAATAATCTGCTCTCTGCTGATTCCATTGACAAAGCTGATGAAGCAACCATTAAAAGCTTGATTTACCCGGTATGTTCTTTCAATTCCACTTGAGCAAATGGTGTAGAAAGAAACCTTCGCATTTGGCCAGAATTAGTCCAAAATTGGGGGTAAACCCCCATAATTGCTACCTATGTGCTCAACGATTTTATGAAATTTTCACCATATCTTTAAAATTCTTAAATGCAGGTTGGGTTTTATACCAGAAAGGCTACTAACTTAAAGAAAATTGCAAAAATTTGTCTCACGAAGTATGATGGAGATATACCTAGCTCGTTGGATGAACTACTCTCACTACCAGGAATAGGTCCTAAGATGGCTCATTTGGTAGGGCTGGTTTGTACTTATTTAAATTAGCTTGCCATCTTCAGTTCTTTAAGTTTTCTGATGTGGGGTGCTTAGGTTATGAATGTGGGTTGGAACAATGTCCAAGGAATTTGTGTAGATACTCATGTGCACCGCATTAGCAATCGGCTTGGGTGGGTGTCACGGCCAGGCAGAAAACAGGTACTATGCATCTTTTGTGATAGCATCACACATGTGTACTTACTGAACTTTATTGATTCTCATAAATAAGATCTTCCAAAATTTTGCATATTGTTTTCAATACTGAAATATGCACTGCATCAATGTATAATTTTTTATCTCTTTTCTAGAAAACTTCAAATCCTGAGGAAACGAGAGAGGCATTGCAATTGTGGCTCCCGAAGGAAGAATGGGACCCCATAAACCCTCTTTTGGTATGCATAGCTCACTTCTCAATACCAATGACATGTTTAAACACAAATTTTACAAATTACTTCCCCTTAATACTAGTGTGGACACACAGACACATGTTTGTACCCGTGATACATACATGTTGACTGTGTGTGTGTTGATGTGCGAACACCTGTTTGCATTTGAACTGGTGGCATCCCTTCCCGTACCGCAGCATACCCTCTATGGGTTAAGAAGGGGTCATTCCTGAGTCTTTGATGTGAAGTTATTACTTCACCATTTTTTACTAGTACTTTTATGCTGAGCAATAAACCATTTGGTAAGATATTCTTCACCAGTTATAAATTTGATCTTGAGACTTCTCCAATGAACTGAATGCTGATTGCTTTTTGTCTATCTATAACCTTTTGTTTCTTTGTTCTTCTATTCTATCATCACAAATATGCACCATTGACGGGTAGAATTATACAATAATGCATTTTCTTCTTTATTTTACTATGAACAGGTGGGATTTGGACAGACAGTTTGCACTCCGCTCAGACCTCGTTGTGGCATGTGCAGTGTGAGCGAGTTTTGCCCATCTGCATTCAAAGAAGCCTCAAGCCCATCATCCAAGTCAAAGAAGTCTGGTTTGAGCAAGAAGCTTTGACAAATTGAATCTCAGAGGGGAATCAGTTTATGTCTTCTTCTGTCGGCCTTTTGTACATATATCTTAACCCTAAACAATTTCATGGATTCTTGGATTGCCAAGGTAAAATCTTGTGTCCTACCACCTCATGTACTTAGGCAAAGGGGAATGCAAATTGGGAAAGGGTGTGTCAATTGGGAGAGTTTTTGTGGCATAGTTTTTGGGGCATTGTATAACAAATTCAGGTGGTCAAGATCTATATAATATTCATTGAAGTATAATTGGAAGATCATGATAAGTGATTATGGTAGCAGAAGTAAGATGCGGGTAAATGCACGGGACCTAATTACATTCTTCACTTTTTGCTGTCTAGCACCAAGTCCCCTCAAAATCGGAATCAGATTGCGCAAAATAACTAGCAATTTGTTGATTCCTCCGCCTAGTCCATTGCAGATCTCATGTGCAAGCAGCTGTTTATTTTGTTAGTTTCATTTTCTTTTATGGAAAACTTGCATTTGAGAAGGAAGATAGGTTTGAAGCCTTATTGGTATGTGTAGAAAGGTCAACAATAACATCACATGCGCCCTCATATATTTGACTTATAGGACGACTTACTAACCAAGTTGGCAAACTGCAAGCCATCTAGCCAAGTTGTATATCCAGAAACCATTTGTTATTCATATTTTTTTAAATTTATCATCACCCTTTTCCTAGTCATTGTGTTTTCTGTTTTTCATTCCTTCCTCCAAACCCCATACAATCACCATTTGATTTGAACAAAAACACGCAACATCAAGAAATCGTCAAATAATGAGAAAAAATAACTTGCCTAGAAATCAGTTGAGCATACATAAGATATACACAAAGCAAACTAGGTAGCTGCAGCCTGCAGGTTCACTAGTAGCAAAGCTAACTGGAATAGTTTTCTATGGCGCTTGCTCTACTAGACACAGAGCAAAGAATGCACCTACTAATTACATTCCAAAAATACATTTGCTCCCTTTTCATGAATCATGATCGAACACAACCAAAAAGGAAGCACTATTCAAAATACAAGGAACCTGGGTCATTGGGACATAATCACAAACACCTACCAAGCCAGATTTTTTGGTCAAATATTTGCTTGTTCTTTTCTGTTTCTGATTTTTGTTGGAATATTGGGTTTTCTAGGTTTCTTGGCGGGGAAACATGTGCTTTGGCTTTGTGCCAAGGAGTTTAACAATTCCCCGTTGTTATTTTTAGCATCTGAAGTTGGTGGGTGTCTGGGAAACGCTTGGCTTGGGTTTGCTGCTTGCTTAGTTGTTCATCTTCTCCAGCAAGTAGAGAGAGAGAGAAAAAATCCCACAAGAAAAATCCGATGGGTTAGGGTGGGATTTGAGATAGGGCTTGGTATTTATACCTTCCACTAAAAAATCTCACACAATCTCACATTTTAAAAAATTCTTCAAAATTAGCAAGTTTTTGAATTCCATAAAATTTTGTTACTTGTTTAAAGTCTTGACTGGATACCACTAGATTTCGACACCCTCACTTAAAAATCCTAATAGTCTTAATGGAAGAGATTTTCTATTTAAACCTCGCACTTCTCTTTGTTCACCCCAATACTTAAATTATTAAGCTGCCAGTTTTATTATTCTGTAAAAAGACAAAAAAGTCATTCAACTTAATATTTAATCCTAATAAATCTATCTATACACACACCCCACACACCCCACCACTCTTCAAGGATCATCCAATCTCAAAATTCAAGGATCATCAGTTAACCCTTGTGAGGGATTGGATTACTTTACGAATTTCAAATGTCATATCAACTTGATGAGCTTAAAGACTTCCTAAGGTTCCGAAGGATGCTCCACATGAATGTGGATATAATGAAGAGGATAATACCAGTGATAATTGCATATTTGAGACCAAGGTTCACCAGCAAATTTACTAGAAGCCCAGCCAATACAACACCAAAGAAATTTGCAGAGGCTTCAAGGCTGCTGAGATTTCCCCTAACAACTGCTCACTTAGAATTTCAATCGATCTACAAAGAGTAATGTCCACAAGTGGCTATCTAACTATGAAGATGAAGTATAGAGACATGCATATACACATACAAGTAAAAATACAAGAAACATCGCAGCAGGGGTATTAATTTTTTATATTTTATGTAGCGCAGGGATCAAATTGAAAAATTGGTTTTGAAAATCCTACTTAATTCTTAGAAGATCATCTTCTCTGCTTCTGAAGTTACACAAAAAGGAAAGAGCCGGATTTAGTAAAAGACCAGAGCCAGAGAGCAAGATTGCTAGAGAGTTATTCTAGTTTGTACACTTTGGCTTTCTCTCCCTCCCTCTCTCTCTAAATAACAACATACATGTACATAATTATAATTTATAAGGAATAGCCAATCGAATGGAGAATCTGAAATCCTGAACACAGTATCAGTTTAAGTATACTACAAATATTGTTTAATGATTTAAGTATTGGGGTGAACAAAGAAAAATGTGGGATTTAAATAGAGAAACTCTTTATTTCTTCATTTTTCAGCTTGGGATGTATTTAAGAGTAGTTTGGGAAGATAGTGGGATTTTCTTAGAAATTGTGAAAATTTAAATTAGAAGTTGGGGTGAACTTAGAACATGAGGTACAAAGAGAAGTGTGGGGTTTAAATAGAAAATCTCTAATGGAATACCACAAGACTTGTTTAGATTATTTAAAAGTCTTAATTGAATACCACAAGACTTATTTATCCCAAAATATTTTTTTAAAATCCCAATTGAATACTCTCCTAAATTGGAGTGCTCTCCTAAATTGGAGTGCGTGAGAAAGTAGCGGGTCATAGGTTGGAATCTATGTAAAAATAAAAGATAAAAAGTTTACTTCCTTTGGCTTCCATAGCGATTCCTATCATGGTAGCTATTAGAATGTATCAATATTCACAATGATATAGACACCTTATCGATACAAATAAGCTCCCATTGGGATAAATATGCATCATGTACATTATCACAATCATTCCACAATTTAAAATTAGATTTTGGTGTCAAAAGAAGATCAGATTGCAACACAAGGTTTTTCTACTATTACAACATATATATCCACGAAAACACATGAGATTGCACTCAACTTCGACTAGAATATTTAATTAACGGATGGATGTGCCGCAAAAGTCAAGTTATTCAGTCACAATTCTATTAATTAGCATCTTGGCAAAGCATGCTCTTACGCCACTTCCAATAGTTAACTCTTATTGGATCGACCGTTTCCAAAAGAGAGCAAATAGTTTTGGCCAAGTCAGATTCTGCTTGTTCCAAGTCTGAATTTCTTAGAGCATCCACGGCATCTCTGAACTCTTGGCTTGCTTGGAAACCATGGCATATGAGATCCAAAAGTGTGCTTAAAGCAAAGATACAGTCGGTTTTGGCAATTAAAATCTTCAAGCATACTGAAGATATTTCAGTATTCTTCATCCAAGACTGATTGTCATTTTTGTAAAGCCCCCGAAGGTATCTCCATGAACTTTCATTCTCAGGGTGGGCTACAATGGCCTTCAGAGTATAAGACACTTCAGACTCTCTTATAGCTTTTAGGCCTCCCAGGAATGGAGATCTTGTAATGACAAAATTTCTCTGTTATAGACAAGCATATCCGCATCAAAGAAGAAACATGAACAAATACACACAAAGCAAAGTGAACATACAGATAATTACTGTTCAAACCTCAAAAGCACTTGAACAAGAGCAGAAGGCCATTATGCAGTATTTATAAGACTTAGAAGGGGCATTTCATCGGTTACATGAAGGCATTTGTTTACTGTTTATGAGTAGCAAATTCCAGTGGGAAGATGCATAGCAATGCTGTTTCTAGTTAGACTATTGACTATATTGACCACAAGCTCTTTGATTTTATTTTATTTGATTTTATTCAGAAAATCTAAAAAGATTAGAAGGTTCTAGATTACATCCTTTGATGCCTGCAGTATCTCCCAATGAAGAACGTAACAATGCAATAGATCAATCATCAAATATTGAAGGGGGTGACTGCTGATCATCTTTTTGTTCATTGTCCAATACCATTACAGTTATGGTATGCTTTATTTCGGGAAGCAAGGTTAAGTTGGGAGATCCCTGCAGACTATTACTCTTTACTGAGTGAGAACACTGAAGCTTTGGCAAATGGAAAAAGTCTAGACTGTAGTGGGGATGTTGTACGTTCGCTGTTTTGTAGGTAATTTGGTGAGAGAGAAACAAAAGGAATTTTGATGATTATAGGGGCGTGGACATTGAGGAGCTCTGGGAAAGAGTGAGGGCTCTTTCTTCTCTCTGGGCATCAATTTCATCAGAATTTAGGGATGTTCCTTTACCATCCATTCTACTTGACCGGCAGCCTGCTGTTGACTGATTAGTTTGTTGGGTTTTTCAATGCTTCTTAGTTTCTTCTTTTTAAAAAAAATAGACCTAACATGCATATATTCCGACAAGGCTATATAACTTCATTTTCTGCGTTTACATGGTTAGAGGCTTAGAACCAAATGGCAGGTAAAGAATATCTATAATCTGTGCATACCTGATTCCAAGCAGAATTGTTAAAGATGTCTTCTTCAAGGAGCTCATGACAATAGTCAAGTTCATCCTCCCACCCTCCGAGCTCCTGAAGAACCCACTGCATAACAAACAAACAAAAAAAAAAACTTCATTTTCTGCGTTTACATGGTTAGAGGCTTAGAACCAAATGGCAGGTAAAGAATATCTATAATCTGTGCATACCTGATTCCAAGCAGAATTGTTAAAGATGTCTTCTTCAAGGAGCTCATGACAATAGTCAAGTTCATCCTCCCACCCTCCGAGCTCCTGAAGAACCCACTGCATAACAAACAAACAAAAAAAAAAATCCTGTTTGTAAAACCCAAATGCCAAATATACACTAAGAGCAATGGTGCTCAAAGTGCTCATCTGTTAACAAGAACCAGGTCTAAAAACAAATACAAGGAAGATCTTGATGTCTTGCATTCAGCACAATGGGGTCAAGGGAAGAAACATACCTGCCTATGAGACCAAGCATGATAATGTTTAGCATCATGGGAAAGTATCTTCTTGGTGAACTCAAGTTCCTGGCTTGTAGCATTAGTTCCCAATATCTCAGCAACCCACCGCCTATGATGCCTACAAGTATCTTTCATAAATTAATGGAGTGCTAGTAAACTCATAGATGTTTTAAGGAAATATTTGATGATTACGTAATTTAATAGAAGCTGTAAAGAAAGAAAAAAACAATATATTGACATCAGAAACTACCAACTACTGAGGTATGAATCATGACAATTATCGTTGTCCATATTCCTTGAAGATTTCATAGTCAGCAGCTATAAGCAACTGCAATAGTAAGTTCAAATTGCTTACAAGCTACAACCTAAACTGTCCTAAATCAATGTAACGAAGGCTCTTTGCCAGAAATCTCTGGCCTGTTGGAGAGCTCATGCATATGCCAAATAGACTTTATTAAAGATCAATATCTCTATACCCATGTAAACTTGAAACGGAAGTATAGTTGAAAACTTGAACACCATACGCACACAGACACACATATTGGAGATAGAACAATTATCCAGCTGAAATTCAATGGCAACAAAGTATAGAAAGACTTGTAGCTCACCATAACTGATAATTTTTTGAGTTAGCCTTTGCAATATCTTCAGTGAAATCAAGTTCATTCTGTAAATCAGCATTAAGCGTCTTCAGTATTAAACGCCTGAAATGCCAAACCTGCACGGAAGAAAAAGACAATTTGAAAGCAGCAATACGAATTTGGTCCGTATTTCGCGACTACCCAACATCCAATTGATGCCAAACTACTTAGTAGAGTTATCTTTTTCAGTTTCCAGATTTTCTCATCAACCACAGAAACAAAAATGAAAAAACCCACTAAAACTATGGGATTTTGAATTATGATCAACTCCTAATGAATGACAAGATACTAAACCTCGATAAGTACCTTCCTTTCACACTTTCCTAGTATTTATCAGCAACCAAACAAAGGAAAAAGAAAAAAAAACCTCCAACGATATAAAATAGAAAAGGAAAATCCTCAGTAAAAGTTTTTGGGTATTTCAAGGTAGACTTTCAAGTAGAGACACTAACACTATTAATGTCAGAGTACACAAAATCTCACTTTCCCAGACTTTCTGAGCAACCAAACAGAGTAACCCCTCCCTGCCCCACCCAAACAAATCTCAAAAAACTGGAAAGCGGAAAAAGATACAGAGATTGGGATTCAGGGACGAAGCTCACAGTGTAGTTTCCTGAGTTCAATTTGATGGCTTCCGTGGTGAGCTGAAGGGCACGAGGGGATCGCTCATCGGCCGGGGAGATATAAAACTATACATAATTTGATATAGGTCCAAAAATGTGTATTCCCAAAGGGTAATGCTAGACTTACCATATTTTTCATACCACATTATAGTCATTTTCAACAAAACAATAAAATTGGTTGTAGTCATTATTGTTCGTTGATGTAAGTCCTTTGACTATTTTGATAAGCTTTATTTTTCAATGTAATAAGAGCATCTACAATTATGTTCCTTATTTCTTAGCTAAAATTTAGTTTAAAATACAGAAAAAAAAAAGAAAAAAAAAGAAGAAGCTATTTTAAAAGCTGTCTAACAAATTTCAACTCCAACCATACTCCCTAATTTGGAGAGTCATATATATTTTACGTCTTTTTGTCTTAAATACTTTACTTCTTTTTAAATTTAATTCTTGATTTGCAATAAAATGTTCATATTCAAATACTGAATATTCTCAAATAATAAACTACAAAAACAATTTAAATTTAACTCCCCATTCATTTTGCAAGGATTTCCATTTGGCATCCCTTATAATAATTTTCTAGCATTGGAGGTATCCCAATTGTATCTTGTGACATTATCCTTTCTTCCTCTTGCTAAATTATGTTTGATACATGTGTAGGGTGCTCCTAAACAATCGAATGGCTAAACGTGTGGGTAATACGTGATGAGGTGCATGAAGGACATTTGTGGAGATCAATCGCTTGAATTTTGAATTAAGGTACTAATTAGAATTATGTATAAGTTTTTGTTTTTTAGATTAGGTTGTGATATATAATGAAATTTATCGATGTTACTTTATTGTTGATTGTTTTAACGTTTAATGCACTATTTTAAAGGCATTGTTTAACTATCACCTATAGTTTATTTGGAGCATGCGAAAAAGAGTTGGCATTTGAAGTCGCTTTTATATGTTGGAAAAAAAAGAAGTCACTTTTATGTGTTGTAATATGAACTGCATACATTTGTCAATGAACTTCAATTGTCAAGGAGTTGAAATTTGGTAGACTATACATTTATTTGGGATTGTGCACATTTTGGATTTTGGTTTAATGCTAGGGATTTGATGTTGGTGGAGTCGGTTTGTTGCTCCAATAATGAGACCTATAAGTTTATTTCAACTCGCAGTAGGTGGAGTCAGTTTGTTGCTCCATTAGGTTACATCTTCGAGTTCCACTTGTGTGCTCCAATGGTTTGTATTTATATTTGTTTCAAAATAACACAAATTTATCAATAAAATGTCCTCAATGAGCATTGAACCCATGTGACTAGACAATATTACCACACTATACCACTAAACTAAGCATGTTTTCTTGAAAGATTTTTGTGCTCATTACTTTTATATGTTGATTGATGAATTTTTGTTAAAAAATTTATTTTATGGTATTAAGTATAGTTTGTTTGTTTATTTATTTATTTGTATTTTCGTGTTAGATCATGTGAGGGCTCCAGTACATATTAATTCAAATGTGACCCACTTCGGCCCCTTGATCTAAACCACCATCCTCGCACCCTAATGACCATCCCGACAACCCATATATGTTTCTTTTAAGGGTCATGTGTCCCAAGGATGACGATGATGTCATTCTGTATTTTATTGGTTTACTCAGTGCCAATATTGTACATATACCTAATATTTTTTTAAGGATAATTCAATCATTCAAAAAACTAAATATATAGTTGACGATTTATCATCAATTTATCTTATATGGTACTTGTTGCCCATTTGGTACCAATCAAGGTTTCTACACTTGACTTGAAAAAGAAAAAGAAAAAAAGGATATACAAATTGGAATAAGAAATACAAATTTGATTTTGAAAAAGATTTCAAAGAAATTAAAACTTCTATACAAAAAATCCTCTCACATCTAGAGACTAATCAAAGCTTGTGGAAAAATAAAAAAAATCAGGAAAAAGACTTTAATTTTTGTTTTAGCTACCCATCTATCTGAGGTTTTCTTGGTGTCATACATGGAGAAATTGAATTTAATGGTTTTTTAACGGAAGGGGAAGGTGAAGGGAATGAGGCATGGGTGAGATTGGTGTGGGATTGTTGGGTTGGTTTTTTTTTTTGCTAAATTTAATTTTTCTATTTTACCCAGTACAAATATATATTTAATTAAGAGTGCTGCTATTTTCACCATCTTTTTCTATTTCCCTAGAAATTATTATATAATTTCTCCTATTTCCCCATCCACGTTATCTTCCCACCCACCATGTAAGTTTTGAAAAAACACAATCTTATATTTCCACCCACCATTATTCCAAAAATACCCCTTAATTATTAATTCAAGCAAATTCTCTTTTATTTGGTTTTTCTCATAATTAAAACATGGGAGTTATATTTTCTTTACGTTCTATTCTTTTGATTTATTTTTCTTGTGTGTTTTGTCACTGTAGAGTGAATTTTTTTTTCCTGTGTTTATTTAACTGTAGAATAATTTTTTTAGGGGTTGGGTTTGTTTAATTTGAGTTTGATTATAGGTTTAAATGATGCAAAATCAAAATAACTTGCTACAATAATAGGTACATGTGGGAACCGAGGTTTCTATGGTTGTTCTATATTGTCTTGGAAGTTGGAAGTCCATATTTGCGGGATTGAACATTAGGGATTGCCAAGAACTGTTAATCATATGGGAAAGAGAAGAAATACTTTTTGATTGGGAAAAGACATGGCTTGATCAATATGATATAAAAGAGATGCAGTTTAACGTCTCTTTGTTTAATTAAGGAAATTTTTTTTCTTTTTAAATTCTTATGAAATTGAGTTTTTATTTTAGGATTGAGGTTTTTTCCTTAAATCCTTAAAAGTCATTTTACATTGTCTATAAAATTTTGAAAATAAAATGGGTGGAGAAACAAGACAAGGGATAAAAATAACAGTTCATATAAATTAATTCAATATATTAGTTTAATTGTCGTGTTCTTGGCTTATCTTATTCTAGTTTTTTGAGATTTCACGTATCATATTTTATCATATCAACATATTCGTATTCGTATCTGTACAACATAAATTGAGTGTGAGTTAATTGATTTTTATTTATTTATTTTATAATTCAAGTATGATATGCCAATTTTGTAGCTATTGGATGTGATTTTAAATGAAATTTAAAAATGAGGTGGCAAGCAAAGAAGAAGAGAAATCAAGCAAACCATAAAAGAGGAAATCCAAGCAAAGAATCCGGATCCAATTTATCCCTGATTTTTTTTTTTTTTGTGGTTCAAAATGTGGTTTTTGTTGTAAAAAATAATAAGTACCACTGAATATTGGGAGTGGAATTATATTTGCTCTTGTTGTTTTTACACTAACAGAACTTTCTCCCTCTAATAAAACTCTTCTAAGATAAAGCTCTCACACTCTCAAATTTCTCTCTCTCTATTTTCTCTTTGGATCGGTGGTGTTCTACAACTGAATGAGCAAGCCTATTTATAGGCAAATTGGATGGCTTCCCGTGGATGTACCGTGAATGAATTGGCAGACAATGCATCTCTAAAGACTTCATTGCCCAACATCATCATTTGCCTTCTTCTTTTCTTTATGTGGGCTCCACCACTTTTTTTTTACAACACTCCTCCTTGGAGACCACATGTCCCTAGATTGGTTGCCTTGTTAAAACCTTGCTTGGAAAAACCTAATGGAAAAAAACCTAAGCGAAGGAAAAAGAATACAATTTCATCATGTTGCCTTGATAAAACCTTGCTAGGAAAAACCCGGTGGGAAAAACCCTAGTCGAAGGAAAAAGAGTACAATGTGCATATGTCATGTATTAGAGGACTCTTGAATGCTCCCCTTGATTTTGCATGCTCCAATTTGATTGCTTGCAGAGTTGACGTAATCCAATGTCATGCACTAGCTTTTGGAATGTGCATTTTGGCAAAGATTTGGTGAAGAGATCTACCAGGTTATCGCTTGAACAGATTTGTCTGACTTTAATTTCTTGACTCTTCTGAAGCTCATGTGTGTAGGAAAACTTTGGTGATATGTGCTTGGTCATGTCACCCTTGATGTATTTTCCTATGATATGAGCAATACAAGCTGCATTGTCCTCATTCAGGATGGTTGGAGTATCCGTTACTGAGGGTAGGGCACATGTGCTTCTGATGTGATGGATCACCGACCTTAACCAAACGGATTCACGACTGACTTCATGGAGGGCAAGTATTTCTGAGTGATTGGAAGATGTGGCTACCAATGTTTGTTTCATTGAGCGCCATGAGATTGGAGTTCCTCCACATGTAAACACATACCCAGTTTGTGAGCGTCCTTGATATGGATCAAAAAGGTATCTTGCATCAACATATCCAACAATACTCGGGGTATTGGTCGATTCACTAGAATAGAATAAGCCCATGTCTGTTGTCCCACAAAGGTATCGTAGAATATGTTTGATGCCGGTCTAATGTCGGCTTGTTGGAGTAGAGTTGTATCTTACTAACAAATTTACTGAAAATGCTATATCTAGTCTGGTACACTATGCTAAGTATAATAAAGCACCTATTGCGCTAAGGTATGGTACTTCTGGACCAAGAACCATTTCATCATCCCCTTTTGGACGATATGAATCTTTCTTAGCGTCAAGCGACCGAACGACCATTGGAGTGCTAAGTGGATGTGCCTTATCCATGCCAAACTGCTTCAATACTTTTCAGTATAAGTTGATTGATGCACCAAAATACCACTAGCACTGTGCTCAATCTATAAGCCAAGACAATATTTTGTCTTTCCAAGGTCTTTCATCTCAAATTCGCGTTTGAGATAATCAGCAATCTTTTGGAGCTCTTCAGGAGTTCCAATTAGATTCATGTCGTCGACATATATTGCCACTATCGCAAATCCAGACTTTGATTTCTTAATAAACACACATGGGCAAATATGATCATTTGTGTATCATTCCTTCAGTAAATACTTACTGAGACGATTGTACCACATTCACCCAGATTGTTTTAGCCCATACAATGATCTTCTAAATTTAATTGAGAACATGCCTCATGGTTTATTCTTGGCTACTTCAGGCAGCTTAAGCCCTTCTGGGACTTTCATGTATATATATGTATCCAATTCTCCATACAGATATGCGGTAATGACATCCATTAGTCTCATTTCAAGTTTTTCTGAAACTGCCAAACTTATTAAGTAACGGAATGTGATTGCGTCCATTACTGGAGAGTATGTTTCCTCATAATAAATTCCAGGCATTTGTGAAAAACCTTGCGCAACGAGTCGCTCTTTATACCTTGCAATCTCATTTTTCTCAATGCGCTTTCTTGTAAATACCCACTTGTAACCTACATGGTTCACATTAGGTAGAGTTGAGACAATAGGTCCAAAAACACTCCTTTTTCCCAAAGAATGTAATTCTGCATGGATTGCATCTTTCTACTTAGACCAATCTTGTCTCTGTGTGCATTCATCAATAGAGCACGACTCAATATCATTATCTTTTATGATCTCAGTAGCCACTGAGAATGTAAATATATCATCGATGGTCATCACGTTTCTATTTCACAATTCATTAGTGGATGTATAATTTATGGAGATTTTTTGACTTTCATGTACCGCTACCACTTCAGGGGCACTTATCTCACCAATGACATTTTCCTTTTTAGGAAGTACCTGTGCCTCTTTGGGGGTATTTGAATTATGAATTGTGGGCTCTCCATTTATTTCATTTGGATTCATTTTGGCCATCGACTTTCTCTTTCGAGGGACTAAGTCCTTTGAGCCTAAGGGTTTGCTACGCTTCAGGCATGCAACAGATGAATCATTTGCTGGCACATTGCTTTGTCCATTATGGATATCAATCCTAATGCACTTGGGATATGTGATTTCGTCATCTTTGTTGCATCATTAAATGCATATGGTATTTGATTTGCAATACTTTGGAGGTGAACGATCCTTCTCACTTCGTTTTCGCATTGAGTGGTATGAGGATCGAGATGAGACAAAGTGGGTACGTTCTATGATAATTCATGTTGTTCTTTAGGAACGAGTTTGCCTTGTTCTTTAGAAACAAAATTTTCTCCCCCTAATAGTGGAAAATTGTCTCATCAAAATGACAATCTGCAAACCATGTGGTAAAGATATCACCTGTCAAGGGCTCCAGATATCTGATGGTATATGGTGAATCAAAACCAACATAAATTCCTAATCTGCGTTGAGGGCCAATCTTAGTACGTTGCGGTGGTGCAATGAGCACATATACCGCACAACCAAAAACTCTTAAATGTGAAATGTTTGGTTGATTACCCAACATGAGTTGTACTGGAGAATATTGATTGTTGGCAACGGGCCTCAACCGCACAAGTGATGTTGCATGTAAAATGGCATGCCCCAAGCAGAAACTGGCAACTTTGTCTTCATTAGCAAAGTGCGAGTTATCAATTGAAGACGCTTAATTAAAAGTTCTACCAAGCCATTTTGAGTATGAACATGAGGAACATGATGTTCAGTGTCTATGCCTAGTGACATGCGGGCCTCAACCGCACAAGTGATGTTGCATGTAAAATGGCATGCCCTAAGCAGAAACTGGCAACTTTGTCTTCATTAGCAAAGTGCGAGTTATCAATTGAAGACGCTTGCTAAAATATGAATACGGGTTTGAATATGTTCAGATGATTTATTCTTCTCCATAAGGAGGTATATATAAAGAGTTTACAAGAGTGCTATACAAGGAATTAGATACAGGAAAGAATTAGGAAAGTATCTCCTAATTATACAAAGATTTATCAATTATATAAAATAGGAAAGTAAATGGTCCACATGGAGGATGAATAGGCCCACAAATGTCCCTTTGGATTCTTTCTTAAAATGATGGGGATTCAACATCAATCTTTGGTTTTGATAGTCTGATCACCAACTTCCCTTGTGAACAAGCTTGGCAAGAGTTGTCACTTGATAACATAATGTGTTTTGTCAACAAGAAATGTCCTTTAGAGTTGGTGATGATCCGATGCATCATGGTGGATCCAGGATGACCCAACCGGTCATGCCAAAGCTTAAAAGTATTTGAGTCAGTGAACTTTTGGTCCACGACATTATTTGCCTCAATTGTCCGTATGGTTGTATTGTACAACCCTGATGAGAGCGCACAAAGCTTCTCCAGTATATGTTTCTGGGTATCACTTGAGGTAATGCAAAGATATTCCATATTTTCCTCATTTTTTGTTTCAACATGGTAGCCATTCAAATGTATATCTTTGAAACTCAACAGATTCCTTCTGGAGTTAGATGAATATAAAGCATCTTGAATGGACAGTATTATTCCATTTGGTAACATAACTTGGGTTGTTCCTGAGCCTTCAATCAGATCTGCAGGACCTGATATGGTTGTTACCTTTGCTTTTGTAAACATCAAGTTTGAAAAATACTTCGATATTGAAAGATCGTATGCATAGTCGCACTATTTGCGAGACAAATATCTTTGCTAGAGTTCTTGTTTTGGGAGCATCCATAATTTAAATCCATGCCTTCAAATAAATAAAATAAGCTGAATCAATAAACAATTATCCAATGTAAAGAAAAATACTGCCACTTTTATTGAATTGAAATGAAAATTAAAAACAGTACTTCAGATAATACAAATGGTACATAAAGGGATTTAGTCTAATTTGGACCCATAAACTTCATTCTCTCTTTCAATAACAAAATCGGAAACATCCAGATGCGTCATGTATAACTGAAGGGATATTTCCAATAAGCAATCTGTTGCTAGTGGATCTGGTACAGCATGATCAATATAATTTCTCTCCACTTTCCTACTCTTAAATGAAGATTGATAAAGATCCGCCAAATGTTTCGGCGTACCGCATGTACACACCCAATGTCCCTTTGCGCCACATTTGTGACAAGTGCCTTCAACATTTCTAGGCACATGGCTTGTCTACACTTTTCCCTTATTCCGAGATGCTTTTTTGCCGCTCGTGGATGGATTGCTCCTTGGACCCAAGCCGTATGAATGGGCACCACGATTTTTTCTATTCCCCGGGATGCTTTTTTGCCGCTCGTGGATGGATTGCTCCTTGGACTTAAGCCGTATGAATGGGCACCACGATTTTTTCTATTCCCTTGCTAGCGACCACGCCCTAGCCCACGTCTGTGGGTACTACCACGAGATGAGGCGGCATTCACTTCTCGAGATGCAGCATTTACTTCAGGAAATGGTGCTGAGCCTGTTGGGCAAGATTGGTGATTTTTCAATAAAAGCTCATTGTTTTGCTCAGCCAATAAAAGGCAAGATACCAATTCTGAGTACTTCGTAAAACCACTATGCCTATATTGCTGCTGCATGAGTACATTTGAGGCATGAAAGGTACTGAGAGTTTTCTCGAGCATATCCTCCTCAGAGATACTTTCACCACATAATTTCATTAGGGAGGTGATTCTGTGCATTGCTAAGTTGTACTCAGACACTGACTTGAAATCTTGGAATCTCAAGTGTGTCCACTTATATCTGGCTCTTGGGAGGATCGCCGTCTTTTGGTGATTGTATCTTTCACATAAGGCTTTCCACTGAACCAATAGGTCATCAACCGCCATGTATTAGTTTTTCAACGCTTCATGAATGTGATGGCGAAGAAAAATCATAGCCTTTGCGTTTTCTTTAGGTGATGCATCACTTCCATTTACAATTGTTTTTCCAAGGTTATTGGCACACAGATAAATCTTGGCATCTAGAACCCATGATAGATAGTTATTCCCAGATATGTCCAGGGGCAACAAATTCCAGTTTTGCCAAGTTTGCCATTTTCAAAATAAAATGAGATGTATCAGTGTTTGCAATAATCTTCGGGCTTAATATATTTTTGAACTTGAGGCCAAAAATATCTTGCATATTTTACCCGAAACTTTAGGTTCGAGATCTAGGACATTAAGCCATTTCTTAACAGGGACTTTTGGTCCTTTAATTGTTCATGTATATTAACTGATAATTTCTTTCATAAAAATAAAGTGCTATAAATAAATTGCTAGTATGGACCATAAACTTGCACCATACTTTAAATAAAAGTAAATGTGCTGGTATGGGTACTAATTCTACTCCATACTTTTAAATAAAAAGTAAAGGCAGTTGTGTGGACAATAAACCCGCGCCACACTTTTAAATAAATACTGTTGTATGAGTAATAAACCTACACCATACAGTAAATAAAGTAAATGTTAAAGGCAATTGTGTGGACGATAAACCCGCGCCACACTTTTAAATAAACACTGTTGTATGAGTAATAAACCTACACCATACAGTAAATAAAGTAAATATGGGGATAAAACCACCACCTAATATATATGAAGTATATGACATATTATATATTGTGGGCAATATAACTACGCCACTATTCAAGATATAATAAAATGGGTTTTAAGATCACACCATCATTTATATTACAATAATATGTGTTACAACGTGATGGGCAATGAAACTACATCACCATAAAATAACAGAATGGGGTATAAAACTGCACCATTCCAAATTACAGTACAAAAAAATAAATTAAACAAACATGGATGAAACAACATAAAAATTGTGAGAATACAAAAAAGAAAGTTTGCATGTTGTCGTAGTAGTAAAAGTGAGAGCAGACATATGACAGAGAGGAGACAGAGAAATAACCATACAGTGTTGAGCTAGGAAAATTTAGAAGTAAAGAGAAGAGACTATCGTGCTGATAACGTGTTATTAAAAGTAATCAAAGTATGAAAAGTACCATTGAATAGTGGGAGTGAAATTATATTTGCTCTTGTGGTTTTTACACTGACGAAATTTCCTCTCAGATAGAACTCAGTAACTCTCAGATTTCTCACTCTCTTTTCTTCTCTCAACTCAGTGTGTTTTCACTTCTCACTTCTTCTCTCTACTTTTCGGCTTGCGTTCCAAATAAGGAACTAGCCTCCCTTTTATAGTTAAGCAAGGAAGGCTTGAGAAGCCTTTGTATTTCCTCCTACGTCTGGTAACATTATTTGCCTTTTGAATATTATTTTCTTCTTTTCTTTATGTGGGCTCCACCACTTTCTTTACAACACATTTTGGCTTATGTTAACCTTCTCCACTTTTATAACAACCCATCTTTGCACTTCATTCTATCACCTTTGGTCTTGCAAGCTATGATTATTGTTGTTGATCATGATCTTAGGTGTAATTAACTCAATGAATGTTTTCAGAGTTTGGGCTTAAAATCAATTACACCAAACAAATTAAATCAAACCACAAACAATGACCTAAATTTGATAACTTAATAGCTAGGCTTTCTAAGTGAAAGGGTTGTTAGGCTAAAGAACTCCTATCTTGCACTTTCTCTCTCTTTTCTCTCTAAGAACTCTAATGCCGCATTGCATTTTCTCTCTCGCTCTTGTGCTTGCACCACTTTCTTCCACTATCTTGTTGTTGGTCATTTGAGCTTCAGGTTGTGATATCCCTTAGTCTTGCAGTTGTTGCGTGCCTTTCTAGTGGCTTGATGGAGTTGGTGAATTTTGAAGTTGTCCTTGTGTTGTTTTGTTTCTATGTTTTGAGGAGAATTTGGTCATGGCAGTACATATGTGGGTCTTTTATGTACAACTGTGATGTTTTGTGTGGTTGCAGTGTCTCCCTTTAATGAAGTGGTTGATTTTGACCAAAAAAAAAAAACACCCATAAACAATCAACAAACCTAATCCAAAATGCTCAACAAATTTTATTTTTTGATCCGACTAAAAAAAATAAATAACTAATCCAAATTGTCCACAGCAGTAAATCAAAGCTACATTATTATCATCAGAACTCATTTGCATCAACTTTCTTGTTGTTTTGATTTTCCTATATGGATATGTAGTATTTATGTGTGATTTCAAGTGAGGTTGAGTTTGTTGGGTTAATTGTTCAATAAATTGTTTAATGTTGTGATTTTGAGAGAAGAGGGAAGATACTGGAATAGATAAGTGATAATGATATAAAGTGTAAATGTTGAACTTCAAGTTAATACAACTCTATTGATGTGGATTGATTAAAGGAAAATTCATTATATTAGTCTATTGGTTAACATTATTGTAAATGCGTGTAAGGTCGTGGATGCTAAATGTAGATGATCGAGATCGAGTACACAATATAATTCACAATTGATGGCACAAGTGGGCATTTAAATCGATGAATCGGTGAATCGAGCCGAACTAAGTTGCCCAATAAAGTCATTTAAAAAAAGGCAAAAAACAATGTTGACCAAAAAAGTCAATCAAGGCTCAAAAACTGAATTGGACCCCTTTGGATCAATTCTTGTCCCAATTCTTGTCTTGGAAAAATTGATATAAACCGAACCAAACCGATTATGTTAAGTTTACTTATTCATTTATATCCAAAATTATTAGTAAGCCTAATTAATATTAAAAAATATTATTAACTCCAAGTAATATATAGATATTTTAACCCAACCGAATGGTTTAGTTCCAATTTATACCCATCTAAATAACTACAACCCAATTTCTTTTTCTTTTAAGTGAACAATATCCGTTCTTGTTGCGCTTCCGTCTTTCTCTCTTTTTCCACCTATTTCTTTTTATTTCTCTTCATTTTTATCTCTTCACCTCTTTCTCTCTTATTTTATCCATTGTACATATTTTTCTCTTCTTTCTATTTTTCTGTACATCATATTTCATTCTTCTTCACATCTTTATATTTTTCTTTCCAAACCAGAAAGCTGACCAAACTGAACTGGAATCGCATAGGTTCAGTTTAGGGGGGTGTATTCAATTGAAATTATAAAAGACTATTTATGGATAAATAAGTCATGTGGATTTTAAAAGACTATTTAGGAATGTAATGACTTAAAAGATTTTTATAATCAGGATTTTTTACGTTTGGATTTTAAAAGATTTATATCATAAGAATTTATAAGATTTGAAAGGACCACATGGATTTTTTACTTTTATGATGCTAACCAACCAACTTAGTCGGATGATGAGCAATTTGTTGATTCCTTCGGCTAGTCCAGTGCAGATCTCATGTGCAAGCAGCTGTTTATTTCATTAGTTTCATTTTATTTGACTAAAAACTTGCATTTGAGAAGAAAGATAGGTTTGAAGCCTTATTGGTATGTGTAGAAAGGTCAACAATAACATCACATGCGCCCTCATATATTTGACTTATAGGACGACTTACTAACCAAGTTGGCAAACTGCAAGCCATCTAGCCAAGTTGTATATCCAGAAACCATTCGTTATTCATATTTTTTTTTAATTTATCATCACCCTTTTCCTAGTCATTGTGTTTTCTATTTTTCATTCCTTCCTCCAAACCCCATACAATCACCATTTGATTTGAACAATAACATGCAACATCAAGAAACCGTCAAATAATGTTATTCATATTTTTTTAAATTTATCATCACCCTTTTCCTAGTCATTGTGTTTTCTGTTTTTCATTCCTTCCTCCAAACCCCATACAATCACCATTTGATTTGAACAATAACATGCAACATCAAGAAACCGTCAAATAATGATAGCTTGCCTTGAAATTGGTTGAGCATGCATAAGATACATATAAAGCAACCTAGGTAGCTGCAGCCTGTAGGTTCACTAGTAGCAAAGCTAACTGAAATAGATTTCTATGTTGCTTTCTCTACTAGACACAGAGCAAAGAATGCACCTATTAATTACATTCCAAAAGTACATTTGCTCTCTTTTCATAATTCATGATCGAACACAACCAAAAAGGAAGCACTATTCAAAATACAAAGTGGGTCATTGGGACATAATCACAAACACCTACCATGCCAGATTTTTGGGTTAAATGTCTGCTTGCTCTTTTCTGTTTCTAATTTTTGTTTGAATATTGGGTTTTTTGGGTTTCTTGGCTGGGAAAGATGTGCTTTGGCTTGGCGCCAAGGAGTTTAACAATTCCCGATTGTTATTTTTAGCATCTGAAGTTGGTGAGTGTCTGGGAAAAGCTCGGCTTGGGCTTGCTGCTTGCTTTGTTGTTCATCTTCTTCAGCAGGTAGAGAGAGAGAGAGAAAATCCCACATGAAAAATCCGATGGGTTAGGGTGGGATTTGAGATAGGGCTTGGTATTTATACATTCCATTAAAAAATCTCACACAATCTCACATTTAAAACAATCCGTCGAAATTAGCAAGTTTTTGAATACCATAAAACTTTTTGTTACTTGTTTAAAGTCTTGATTGAATACTACTAAATTTCGACACCCTCATTTAAACATCCTAATAGTCTTAATGGAATACCACAAGACTTGTTTAGATTATTTTAAAGTCTTAATTGAATACCACAAGACTTATTCATCCCAAAATAGTCTTTTAAAATCCCAACTTATAGACACTTTATATAAAAATTGAACCGAACTAGACTGTAAGTTCCAGTTTCCATTCCAATCCGAGAGGAAACCAAATCGAACTGGATGTGCCCGCCTTGATGGGGTGTAGTCTGCAAATAAAGGGTCGGTATAGAATTTTCGTATAGAACGGGGTGTAGTCGGCAAATTGAGGGTTGATAATAGAACGCCCCCTTCCTAGTCCTACTCTCTCTCTCTCTCTCTCCTGTTCTCAACACAACTCTGTTCTGACGTCAGACTCACGCACTCAACGCTTTCCTTATTCAACTCCCTCTCTCCTCTCGGTCTCCTTCTTCTTCTGTAGTTTTGCTTTAAAAATATTTTTATCTAAATACCCAACGCAAGGCAGTCAGACAGGTAGATAGATATAATAGAGAGAGAGAAAAGGGTGGAGAAAAATATCTTTTTTATTTTGATCAATTAGTAACTTAAAACCGGCGAATTACCCTGTGATTCTCCGATTTCCTGTTCAATTTTGCACCGACTCTCCTCGCTTTCTCGCCAGCCAAACACTCCTCCCGCCCTTAGGGTTTGTTTGGGACTATGGACTCCGAGGACGATATGCACGACGCCAACGACGTCGAGTCCATGGATGACGACGAGGGCTTTTACAGCGACGAGATGGGCATGGACTACTACGGCAGCGACGACGACGTCGATGTCGATTTCGGCGAGGATAATGAGGGAATCAAGAGGATCGAGGCTAGTCGAGCTGAGGTTTGTCCGACTATTTCGTTTTCTGTCTTAATGTTCGTGCAAAATTTGTGAATTTATTGAAATTTGTTTGCTTTTTGCTCTGTTTGCGAGCTGAGAAAGCTTTGGAATGGTTAGGTAAGAAAATTAGATGCTTTGATCGTTTGGGTTTTGTGAATATAGGAAACTAATGGGAAACTAATGCGAAACTAATGGGAATTGGGTTCTGAATTTTCTTTCTTTTTGTTTAAAGTTGGGAGTCCGCAGCTTAGTTAAGCTAACAATATAAACTAAAAGATTTAGTCTGCCTGTTTTACCCTTGACTAAACTGTGATAACTTTTGCCCAATTGAGCTGAAGTAACCTGTGTCTGTACTTCTGAGCTTGAGTAAGGATACTTTTGTCTGTCGGTTGGCTTTGTAGAGTAGTGGAGGAAAGCTAAAAAAAATTACGTATACAATTCTCTTGGTCGCTATCCTTCAGGTTGTCATACAACTGAGTAATATTGATAGCAATTTCTGAATGCTTTTTTCTTTTCCAGCAAGTGGTGTGTACTTTTCATTGTTTGGGCTTAGGTAGTTGATACAGATTTAATTCTGACTTTGGACCTAGCATGACACTGAGCAGTTGGCTTTGATGGAATAGGGACGAGGGGGATTTAGCATAGGTCTTATCTGAATGTTTAGGTTGCAGGGTTTTATTGTTTGGGCTTCGCTAATTGCTAAATTTAAATATATTTCGTTTCTTTTGGTCCTTCATTCTGATTTGGGAGTGGCATTTGTCCCCTTTCTGTGTAATTTGAAATATTGTTTTTCAATGAAAGTATTTGTTTCTCATCGAGGAAAAAAAAAGATTGGGGAGCTGCATTTGTCCTCCATCGCTTGCAGTAGATATAATAATAATTTTGTTTCTTTTGTCCTCCAAGATTGCACATAATTGTTTATGTCAGTTTTACTGGTTTTTGTATTATAGCTTGAGAGAATGTGAATGATTTATTGTCATAACTTGTCTAGTTTCTGCTATGAATCTATACATAGGTTTGTGTTATCAATGTAGTAGAGAAACCTTTGCTTGACAAGTAGCTAGTGTATGTAGTTTTATCTGGTTGCTTATCTTTAAGTTGGTTGCAGCTTTGATAACATGGTAAGACACAATATTCTTTAGTGTTGCCAATGATTTAGTTGAGCAATTTGAGGTTGTAGCACTATTGCTGTTTCTCCTTTAAGAATTGGTTCTCTTGCCCCTTTAAATAACCGGCAAGTAGAAAGGAAGCCGATAACTTAAATATTAGGAAAAAGGAGAAATTAATAATCAATCCTACCCCTCCATGATTTTAGAAAGAGACGAATAATAAGTTGATAAGCTTTCCAAAGTAGACTGCACTATTGTAAGCTTCCCACCGCTTGAGGCTCTCCACCCAGTGATAGACACATAATTTAAAGGCCGGACCCCTACTCTACACCCGAACTATTTGCTGACTATTCCAATTTATTATCTTGTGAATAATCCACGCAATTGAACTCTTAGCCAATTAACCTCCAATCTTGATAAAACACAAAATGATTTTCACTACTAATAGCCAATTAAAGAATATCACCTCATTCTCACCAATTGATACCATTTAACCCTGCAACGCCAGTAAAGAAAACAAAAAAAGGCTGCCTTGTCTTAAGTTCATTACTGGGAGATTTACAGATTTTAAGCATTCTTGAATCCACTTTGTCCGCCTCATGCTGAAGCCTTTTGTCTCTGGAACAAGAGGCATTCTTGATGAACTGAATTCTTACTTCATTGTTTCCAAGGAACCACTTTTTCAGATGTGTATGTATGCAATATGAAATTGAATATAAAATCTTGTAGTTGGAAGAGATTTTTCTATTCAATTTGAGGAGCTTTTATATGCATATCATGTAAACTTGAAATCAAGTTGTGGTGAAGCTGTGGTTCTGTTGCTTATTTATAGTGCTCTTATTGATTTCGTCTAAATGAAATGTTTGTCCTTTTTTTTTTCCTCCAGAATAATTTTATCATCTTGGAGGAATCAGATATAAAGCAGCGTCAGGAAGAAGATATTACAAGTGTATCTACTGTGCTTTCCATATCAAGAGCTGCTTCAAGCATTTTACTTCGTTACTATAATTGGTATTAATTTTTTTTGCTCATTTATCTCTTTTGATATGCTTAGTTTCTCATGATATGTAGAATTGTGATTTTTAATTGAACAGTTCTTTAGAACTTTGTGTTGTGTTCTGAGTGAATACAGTAACATGTGAGCTATTACAAGTGATCCTAGCCAATTGGTACCCTCTCTCCAAAAGAGGGAGGGTAAAACTTCGTCCCATTCTATAGCACATCATCACTCTTTGGTTGAAAAGAAAATAAGAGTTCCTGAAATTGATAGGACCATTGATGTCACCTTCTCCCCCTCTTTTGTAAGTTATTTATCTGAAAAAGGTTTGGTATGGCAGGAGTGTTAGTGAAGTGCATGAAGCATGGTTTGCTGATGAAGATAAAGTGCGAAAAACTTTTGGCTTGTTAAAGAAGCCAGTGGTTCAGCTCCCCAGTTCAAGAGAAGTAAGCTGTAATATAAACATTTGGAAATGAGAGTTTTTTGTTTTTCTAGTAACTGTTTTGTTTTTTATCTGTTCATGTCTTTGTACACCATCATAATAACTAAAATTCTGTTGTGCAGCTTACCTGTGGGATCTGTTTCGAAGCCTTTCACCGCGGTAGCATCAGATCAGCTGCTTGTGGTCATCCTTTCTGTTGTGCATGCTGGGAAGGTTTGTTACATATGCTATTTCTTTAAAACCTAGTTTCTGACTGAGATACAAGAAGCTTGCATCTTAAGCTCTGAATATGTAGAATGTGACCTTGGAATTGCAAGTCTCCTTCATGTTTTAAGCTGTCTTTAGTTGTTTAGTTGTAGAAAATTTCCCTTAACCCCCCTCCCCCTCCACAAAAATTAACACCGATTATTTTGTATAAAAAATTTATTTCTTACAAATACTTTTTCGCCATTCTTTCCACCATTTTCTGAACTTCCATAGTATTTTATTCCCATGCTAATGTGTTTCTTGTTATGATTATCTTTCTTTCTTTCCATTGCCATGCTTTGTGGTTTTCAGGATATGATTGTTTTGTTCTTCTTGTCATAGGCTACATTAGAACATCCATTAGTGATGGTCCTGGATGTTTAATACTGAGATGTCCTGATCCATCTTGTGGTGCTGCTGTCGGTCAAGACATGATCGCTATGTTGGTTTCTGATGAAGATAACCGGAAGTACTCTCGGTATCTTCTTCGGTCTTATATAGAAGACAACAAGAAGGTATATGTTGCAATTGATTATGATATATGGAGCATTAATCAGCCTTTAATTCTGTGGACTTCATATTACTAGTATTAGACGACCACAAGTTGGAGTACTTTTGTATATTCTTTGAAATTTCATAAGTCTAGAGGAGTGATATGGAGTTTTTGTATTGTCTTGCCTGTGTTCTTTCACTTCTTTAGCTGTAGTTTTAAGTTTATAAAAGTTTCAAAAGCAGTTTTCTTTTGTGTATATAGAGATGAACAGATAAATGTAAACCTAAAGTTTACAATAAATCTGAAACTGTTTTCTTCTATGCAAGATTTAAAATAATTTTGATTATTGACAATTGACAATATAAACATTCATAAACGTTCTTGCAAGATTATATTTTTCATAATAATAGCATCGAGAACGTCTTAATAGATCAACTTTTTGAAATGTTCATCTCTAATTATTACTGTCTTTTGGCTTGGAATACTATGTTATCATGATAAAAGAGTCATATTAAAAATGGTGATATCTGTGTGTGGTTCTCAGCATGTGTGAAGGTTGATGATTTCAACTCTTATACTCAATTTGAGAAACGAATTAATGTTTTCCTTCCTTTCAATTACTCCTTGTGTGTGTTTGGCGCTGTGTGTGTCTGCATGTTCTGTCTATTACGCTTGCATTTTTATGGTACGATGGTGTGTCCAGTCCATTAGTTACCATTCTTCTCACCTTTTCTTTTAATTCTTCTTCTTCTTTGTTGCTAGACCAAGTGGTGTCCTGCTCCGGGTTGTGAATATGCTGTTAATTTTGTTGGTGATGATGAAAATTATGATGTTTCTTGCCTCTGCTCCTATGGCTTTTGCTGGAATGTAAGTTATTTATTGTAATTTTTAGTATTTGATGCCTTAGCGAAAACTTGTATATACCAGATGAGTCACGGTTTGTTTTGGGTCTATAGTGTACTGAGGAAGCTCATCGTCCTGTGGACTGTAGCACTGTGTCAAAATGGATTATGAAGAACAGTGCTGAGTCTGAAAACATGAACTGGTTTGTATTTTCTTTTAGCATCTGAAATTCTATCTTGTGGGTTCACATTGTGGATTTCTCTTTTCATATATGTATTGGCTTTCTGATTGTTTGCATGGTAATTAAACTGTTTTATGCTGCATTCTTTTAAACAATTTATAGTTGGTAACTGACTAGCGTACTGCTCTATTGTGTGCATATCAATTAGGGTGTACTGTTATATTTCTCCATGAAGTCTCTCTAAACTTCGTCTTCATTAACTACGTCCATATATTTTTATTTATTTTGGTGTACTGTGTTGATCACTGCAACTGCTTTTGACCTGCAATGAGATTTGATGTGATTATCTTCTATATATCTTTTTCAAGTGAACTCTTTCATTATTCCTGGGGTAAAGTTAAGGAAGTAAACCATGTGAAATTTTTGGGAATGCAAGATGGTGGAAAACCCTACCTTTTGTTGCATTTGGAAAAGTTTGTCTCATGAGGAAAAGGATGTTTGCATGAACCTTATTAGCTAGCGTAGTCGTTTCTTTAATCACTTCTTCAGACTAATTTTTCTTTGATAAAAAATGGGCTTTATCACATGGTGTGAGGTACATGTGTTTACATAGGTTAGTGTGTCTAGCATCTGAAGACCTATCAAAGTTTTTCTCTTAGAGTTTGTTCCTACGGGTTTTGTCATATCTATCATTAAGTCTTCCTGCATGGTCTTTGACTAGTGGCACATGAAACAGCTTTGTAAAACCGATCCATGCAGTGTTTGCATGTTGAGAATTGGGGCCCATTTGAAACATAATTTATTTTTGTTGAGTCTTTGAACAGACTGTTACAGTCAGTGGACTGATTCCGTCATTTTTTTAAGGTGTACCTTGGAATTTTGTTTTGAAGATTTGGATTCTTTTTTGAAATATTGGATATGCATATAAAGGCCACTGAGAAGTATTTGACTATTTGGTTATGGCAGGTTGCGGCAGATTAAAGTAAACTAGCTTGTGAATAGGATTTGAAATTAGAGTACTCGTTCTTTAGCTATTATTCATATTCATATTATTATTGTTATTTTTATTTATAAAGGAATCAGATTTATTATTATTGTTATTTTTATTATTAGTATTAGTAATCTTTTTCTTGGTGGATTTTTTTTTTGAATTGCATTCATAGGGTATATGAAAAAGTACGAATGTATATTCATTACTAATGTTGAATTAAGTGGTGCAAAGTGCAAGTGTGATCAGTGTCCAGTAATCTTTTTCTTGGTGGCTCTTTTTTATTTTATTTTAAAATTGCATTCATAGAGTATATGAAAAAGTACGAATGTATATTCATTAATAATGTTGAATTAAGTGGTGCAAAGTGCAAGCATGATCGGTGTCCAGTAAGTTGTGATACACTCTTAAAGACAACCGTTTCTTAACATATTTATGAGAATTGAGTGGATCCTTGTTACTTCATATATCTGTTGTTCTGTCCTAACTTTTGTTGATGGCACTCAGGATACTAGCCAATTCCAAGCCATGTCCAAAGTGTAAGCGACCTATTGAAAAAAACCAAGGATGCATGCACATGACGTGCACACCACCTTGCAAATTTGAATTTTGCTGGTATGCTTTCTGCTTCCATTTTTTTATTTCCTTTCATGGAAATTGATAGTTGTTTGAAAACATATCTGATTAATGAAGAATAGCATTGTATCATTCAGATTGAGAATAGAAATATTGTTGGAGGGAACTTTTCTTTTGCTTATGTTCTTATACTGCTAAGTTTTGTTATCTGGTTCTAAATGAATTATATGTATCATGCAGGCTGTGCCTTGGTGCATGGTCAGATCATGGCGAGAGGACAGGTGGTTTCTATGCTTGTAACCGCTATGAAGCAGCTAAGCAAGAGGGAGTTGTAAGGATTTTACTGTTTCTTGCTGATTCTGAGAATTTGTTCTTCTTATTTGCCTTTTGGAAGACTAGTTTTCTTTTTCTACTGTTCATGAGTTTGTATTGTTGTTTGTAGTATGATGAAACTGAGAGAAGAAGAGAAATGGCGAAGAATTCTCTGGAGAGATACACTCATTATTATGAACGTTGGGCTAGCAATCAATTGGTATTCAGAATTTTCTTTTCAAATTTTCCTCTCTGTTTGTTCTGCTATGCTTTGAATTCGTGCATTTCTTTTCATACTGTTATAGTACCCTGGCATGTATTTTTTTTTTCCAGTGAACTCTTTATCTCATGTCTTTATATCTGGGTAATGACCAATGAAGAGCCTAATTTTCTGAAAGCTTAGTTCTTGACAATTTCTTTCAATACTCGCTGGGTTTTATTACAATTTTCATAGAATATGTTGTGTAAACAGTAGTAGGCAGGTGGACACCTGTGCGTGACTTTTTGCATGGTTTGCATCGAAAGAAAGGCTGGAAGCCTCCTGAATTTGTAGTCAAGATTTTTCTGTGCATTGGTCTTCTGTTTCTTGGATTTAATTGTCTAAGCCTTAATGTTGCTTTTGGTGGAGCTATAGTATTCTTCTTTAATTATTCACTAAAATCTTTTTGTACTTCCTTGGCAGTCGAGGCAAAAAGCTCTTGCGGATTTGCATCAAATGCGTACTGTGCATGTAAGTATCTGTACTTACAGAAATTCGTACATGCGAACGTACATACATATTCTTTATACATAGACACGGGTTCATGCGTTTGCTATGTTCATTCTTCAATGGAGTTTCTGATAACAAATGTGTTCAAAACATATATGATCTTAGTACTCATCTTTCTACCGTATTGTAGAACTAGAACCATATTTTAAACTTTTGCAGATTTGGAATATTATTCATAGATGCAATGCTACAATTTAACTTTAGTTTAGCGTTAACAACACGAACATGAGGTTTTATGTGTTTTCACTTTAGACCTTTAGATTTCAGAATATAGAGTTGTAGTTGTGGTTGTACGGTAACCCCTTCATGTGAACTGATAGCCTTGATGGTGTCAAATTAAAATTTCCCTCAAAAAAAATTGTGTACCAACAAGCATACCGTTACTAGTCTTTATAAGAAGTTAGCAAGGGCATCATTTTATAAATCCCTATGCTAATCCACACACCCTAGTTTTAGATCTCTATCACTCATTTGGCTCTCTATTCGTGCGTTTCTTTTGTTTATTTATTTTTTAAGAGCTCCCAATTAGCCAATCAATAGAGAATAGGCTGTGGCTTACAAGCCTCGTCTGACTAGGATTCCTAGACCCTCTTTGTTGTACTTTATCTTGATTTGGGGAAGTTTTGGGTGGATTATTTTATGGACTTCTTGTCCAAGAAACTTTTACTTCTTGTGTTTCTTCAGTTCCAATATATATTTGTGTTATTGAAATAAAAATAGTGTGATTGCTACAAGATGTTTGGTAGGATTGTCTGTTTTCATCGTACCTGTTTTACTTTCCTAGCTATCATGTAATTGTATGAAGCGCTCTGTATTTACTTTATTGATATACTGGCTATTTTTTTTCTCAGATGGAGAAGCTTAGTGACATACAGCGCGAACCTGAGTCTCAGCTCAAGTTCATAACTGATGCCTGGCAGCAGGTGAACTACCATCGTTTTTATGAGATATATAAAGATTTATTTTCTTTGAAAGATATGGAAGGACTTATTCTAGTGAACATCAAATTATTGTTTTGCTATGACATGCTGACAAATTATGTTTTGCCTGTCTTCTGTGTTCGTAGATTGTTGAGTGTAGGAGAGTGCTGAAATGGACTTATGCTTATGGGTATTACCTGCCTGAGCATGAGCATGCAAAGAGGCAATTTTTTGAGTACTTGCAAGGTATAAACTCTGTGTGTATATTAGTGGCAACTATTTAGGAATTGTCTTTTGTGTTTTCTGAAGTATGCAATTCTGCTTTTTTATTCAGGTGAGGCAGAATCTGGTTTGGAAAGGCTTCATCAGTGTGCAGAGAAGGAGCTACAGCAATTCCTCAGTGCGGATGGCCCATCGAAAGAATTTATTGATTTCCACACAAAGCTAGCTGGACTGACCGGGTAAACACTTTATAAATATAGAGCAACTCTCTGATACAGTTAACCACACGTGTGGTTAACCATATTTATATACATACATATACATATATATGTACCCACATATGCTATGAACTTTTGCAGTGTGGCTCTGTTTCTGTATTGCACTGCTTGTTGACTCTCACGGACACTGCCAGACGCCAGGCAGTGCGAAGGCCTCATAGTACACACTTGATATTTCCTGTGTATGTTTGTGTATATATATGTGTGTGTGTGTGTGTGTGTGTGTGTGTGTGTGAAGTTTCCTTGATCACTTCCAAGTTTGCTTTTACCACTGAATGCAAAATGACAAGTAAAGAAAATGCAGTGAAGGAAAATAGAGTCAATGGTTCGTTAGTATAGGAACTGCAAAGAAAACAAGTCTCCATTTGGGGGATGAGAAAAGGACAGGAGTAAGCGTGGAAGAACGTATTTTACTGACTTGACCTTAAAAGTGCACATTCTTTTTGGCTGTAAGCCTGTGATTACAAAATAGTAAATGAGGTTATTTATCAAGTATTAATTTGTGGGATTTTTAGTTTTCTAGTTAGAATTGATCTGTAATTGTGTTGCATCATTAACATTCTAGCAATGTGTGATTAAGTTATACTAGGAATGTTTCACAGGCGCACTCATCCATATACCCTTTTCTTGTGATGTGTAATTACCAGTCTGGGCCTTCGAGTCAGTTGAGTTCAATGCATTGCCTGATTGAATCTTCTTATCCATTTGCTCTACTGTGACAGGGTGACTAAAAATTACTTTGAGAACCTGGTAAGCGCATTAGAGAACGGCCTATCAGATGTGGACTCTCAAGCAGCTTGCAGTGGGTCAAGCTCAAAAAATGGAGGAAGCAGCAAAGCGAAAGGTGGAAAGGGAAAGGGAACTAGTCGAGTTGGTGGCTCCAGCAAAAATGTAGACAGCACAGGTATGTGGACCTGTGAGTACTGTACGTATGCAAATTCGAAGCATTCCACCACATGCCACATGTGCCACCACCAGCGACGGTGAATATTCTTTGCGTTCTGATCTCTGTCCTTGTAGTTGAAAATAACTCCAGGCCAGTTGAGAACAAGAGTATAATGGAAGTGGCTCTCTTGGTATGAAAATGATAAGGTGTAAAATCAAAGGAAAAAAATGAAGACAGATTTGTTAGGGGAAAAAGTAGGTTTGCCTCTTGGTATTCTTGTGTTTTGGTGGAAACATGTGATTATTATTCACTGTATATAATATCGATGTCCTTACGAATTCGGGGTTCTATGACCTGCCTTTGTTACCTATTGGTTGATTATCATATATTATAGTTGTCTATTGTGAATGCAAATATGCTCGTTTGTCATACTGTAGTATCGAATTTAGCAATGTTTTTGTTTGGATCTATTCTTGAACCAACCTTGCGGCACACTAGGTGAAGGCAGTCTATTTGAAAGTAGGGTTGGACAATTTGAACTGCAAAACCAGAAAACCGAGCTGAACTTTATTGTCCCGTTCAGTTGGGTGCGGGTTTTTCTGTTTTATTTGTAAGTTTTGGCAAGAAAACCAAACGAAACTGGTGAAAGTAATTTTTGAAATGGCCCTCTAAAACGACCTACCCAGCTCTCTGCAATCCCTTTGAAACCTTAATTCTCCTCTCTATCCCAATTCAGCAAAATTGTCAAAAACCAGAAGATTTAATTGCTTTACCTTTAGATGGCAACATGATACAATTGAATCATGAAAAAAGTAATCCGAGTCAAGAAAGTAAGGTTGACTAATTGATTCATAATTCGCCAAAGTCGTCATCATCATCGCCCTATCTGGCTTCAACCTCTTCATTATTTTCATGCTCAAACTCATCATCATAACTGCCCTCAAATTTGTTCTCATTTTCCAGCTGCATATCACCATGACTGCAAGAAGAGGAACATGAATAAAATCCAGCCTTAGTGCTACAACAATCGAACTCTAATTACTCAAAATTGAGGCCTAGTCACTATGAAACTTCCCCAATGTTCAAACCCTTCTTATCAGCATGACTGCCCTCGCCTTTTGCCGATTTAAAAGTCACTTTGATATTTCCCCGTCCCGACTGGGGATTTATAAAATTCGGGTATTCTCATACCCACCCTAGGGCTCGTCAATGGGTCGGGCTGGGCTAGCGCGGTCCAAATTTAATGGACTTGGGCCGGGTCGGGCCGGGCTTTAAAGAGGAGAGAGAAAATAGCAAGTCGGGCCGGGCCGAATTTTTTTACAAAATTCAAAGCCCAAGCCCGATCCATGGGCCGGGCTTGAGAAAGTCCATCGGGCCGGGCCAAAACGGGCCTACTTCAATCGAAAAAAATCATAAACTTAATCATAAAGGCATTTTAGTCCAAATTTGAGATTACTCACTTAATTCCAATATTTTCACATCAAACCAAATTCATAAAACACTTAATAAAGTCACACAACTTAATAAGATTTTCTACAAAAATAATAAAACCAAGTATTATTTTTTAGGTTATTACATAATTAGACCGTAATACACTTTAAGAAATAATTTAAAATAATAATAAGTATAAAAAAAATGTTTTTTTTAAAGGATGGTATGAATAAATATGCAAATGTTTGGTGATGTGTTCAAGAAAAGCATGATTATATTTGGTAATACGATTATGTTTCGTGATATGATTATATTTGGTGATATGATATGTTGTTCATCTTATTTCTATATATATATATATATATAATTTTTGTATTAATAATTGACACAAATTAAATTAATGTGCTAATCATCCAATTATAAACTAGGAATGAGTAAAGAAAAGTAAATGAAATGAAACAAATTATATATGTGATTTAAGTGATATAATCCTAATCCTAAACTCTTATTTATACATAATTATATATGTATGCGGGCCTAACGGGCCGGGCTTTTGTGGGCGGGCCGGGCCGGGATTTCTTGGGCCTAATCAGGCCGGGCTGGGCTTCAAACACTCAAGCCCAAGCCTAGCCCGGCCCAAAGCGGGCCAGGCCATCTCAAAGCCCATAACGGGCCGGGCCGGGCTTTTTTCCGATGGGCCGGGCGGGCCCCCATCGGCCCATGAGCCCGCGGGCCAAATGATGAGGCCTAACCCACCCTTGATTTTCCCCAAACATCTACCCCTATTAGGGTTGGGGACACACTCGGCAGTGTTCTATGCCATCTCGTAAACGGAACTACCGGTAGGGAGAGGGTCAAATGAAACTCTCCCACCTTCAGCTCATGGTGGGGGAGAGGGTCAAATGACTCCATAACTTGCGAACACACTATAGTCTTACTAGGATGTTGAAAGAGATTTGTTCGGGGATGTAAATGGAATTCTTCCAGCTTGTGGACCTCATCCCGAGGAAGATCGTAGAAGAAATAAGTTAGAAAACAAAATGGAGAAAAATCTAGACCCAGTGCTGCGATCACCTGGAACTTACGTTACTGAAATTCTTCTCCTGGTAATTCATGTATCGAATAAGGCTTTTAGTTTCAGTTAATAACAAAGAACTTGTTTAGCTCAATATTTAACTATAGATGGTCTTTTGTTTAATTCCTCCTCCAACATTGTTGCATCAAAATAATTTTACCTTCGCCGAAAAAAGAAAGAAAGAACCGAATGACTCAATTTTAGTTGTCTTAATGGGAAGGGCGCAGGAAAAGGAATGAACATTATTGCAACAAGAAATTCATGTTCTTCAAATTTTAAAATGAAGAACTAATAAACAAAGCTTGCAATTTAAAATTCCAGTTTCAAAATCTCATACAAAAACACACACGTTATGCCATAAGATTTTTTTTTTGGTCGAAATCACACACGTTATGCCATAAGATAGCATGCAGCACATATCAAAATTGAAGTTCCAATAAAGGCGCGACTAGCCAAAGTCGAATTTGCTCATATCTCAAGTTTTAGGAACTTAATAAGAACTGTAACTGGTGTGAATGTATACATAGCACAAATTTAAGTAACTATATTTGATGTCATCCTGCTGAAGCACTCTCTAGGGTTTTGTCTTAGTGACAGGCATTGCATTGCTCATAAAAGACAATTGGGTGAAGACTGGGAACCAAGAAAATACAGTGCTAGGTTCGACAATATTCACAATGCTAGTTTCCACAACAAAGTGTTAGAACCTTATTGAGTTTGCATCCATTTAAGGCACCAAATCTGTCAAGAATAAAAGAGGAAAGTTTTTCACTAGATTAGCCAGTTGCTTCTAAGTGAAGAAAATTAGTTTTTATCATAAATAGCCAAAATTTATCCTGCACTTTTATAAATGTTAGTTTTGATAAAATAAACGGATTTTTGTAGAAATGTCACATGAACTTATATCTCAATTTCAATTTGTCTTCTTAAAGAAAAATTTAAGAGCAATGTCACCTTAATTTTTCAAAATTCATGATTTGTCATCTTACTATAACACCATCCAATTTCCCTCTATTTTTAAGGGTATTTTAGTCTTTCCATTTTCAAGGAAAAAATAAGAGAGAAAAAATAGACCTCTCTCTCCCTTTCTCCCCCACCCCAAACCCCACTCGCCCCCAAAACACATCACACAGGACCCCTCTTCTCTCTCTCTCTCTCTCTCTCTCAGCATGTATAAATTACATGTCTTTTCCCCCCTCTCCTGAGCAAACATGCATCCCCAAAGAAGTGCCTGAGCCTCGGCTTCCAAAACAGAACTTGTGGTAATTTGAGCTATCTTTGCGGCGATGAACTTGCATTGGGAGTCTGTAATTATAATTCCAAGTCCGGCCTTGCCATTTCTCGGGTTCCATGCTGCATCCACGTTGACTTTGACAGTATTTCCAGATGGGGGTGACCAGACAGAGGGAGTAGCTTGATGGTTGTTCAAACTCAGAATGTTGTTGTGGGTATGGGTCGTTTGGGCAGCAAGGAAACTTGTTACACCCGTTGAGGTAGCATAAATTGTTGCTTCTAGGGATGGTCTTTGGTGCTTAAAAACAGCATTACACCGGGTTTTCCATATGTTCCACTAGGTGAAAGCAATCTGTGTTGTGACCCACCTTAACTCATCCTTGCTTTTTGCATGGATCTTGAGAATATTGGAGAACCATTGACCAATATTGGTGACTTCTTGAGGGTTGACTCTGTAAGTTAAGCAGCCACCAAACCATACACTTTTAACCCAAGGACATAGAAGCAAAAGATGCTCAAATGTCTCCTCATGCGACTCGTAGATGGGGCAAATGGGGGATTGTCTGATTCTTCTTTTGCACAGGTTGTCATTGGTTGCGAGGCTGTTTCTAAAGATCCTCCAGGGGGGGGGGGGGCTTCCATAAGGCTTTCTAGATATCCTTTGTAATTGCGATGGAGGTTGAAGGATGTTGATGGTTCAGTGCTTGGTTTTTGTGATGCACCCAATGATAGCAAGATTTAACGGTATACCTGCCACTTTTCTCATATGGCCAAATTAAGCAGTTTATGTCCTCCTTGTGACCAAAGGGTGTTCTCAGGATAGAAATTTCCTCATCATCAGAAATCATGTGGCGGATTGAATCCAAATTCCAAGTACTTATTTCATGATCAATGATAGACCCAACTAAGGTGTCATCCAAATGTTCCCTGCTATTGTCTCCCTCAAGGATCCCAAGAAGGCTAGGAATCCAACGGTCTTTCCAGAGTTTAGTTTGTGAGCCACTTGTTATTTGCCATTGGAGTCCCTGTATCGCAAATGTATTGACATCCTATATCTGCTACATACAATGCTTGATTTACCCCCC